ATATACATTAATATACATTTAATATATGTATATAGTATGTATATACATATATACGTAATACATATAATATATATATACATTTTATAATTTTATACACATATATACATATATATATATACACACATACATACATACATACATATATACATACATACATACATACATATATATATACATACATACATACATATATATACACACACACACATATGTATAATTATAAAACTATTTTATAGAAAAATAATATTAGAAAATTGTAAGGAAAATAATTCTTTCTACGTAGCTTTGTGTATTATGATTGCATCCCAATATTCACTGCCAATACTAAAAATTTATAGTACGTGAATTATATAATAGATTTTTAATACTAGCAATGAATACTAGCAATGAATATCGAAATACATCCTACATGTCACACAAAGTTATTTGTGCATGTATGTGTGTGAGTGTATACAATACAATAAAAATACGCGAAATAAAACGCTCTCTCAAACGTGACCATGTTTCAGGCGCCACTTGGCTGCCATAATATACAGTAATAGACGACACAAGAGATGAGAAATTACGTCATCGCGGGCACAGACTAACATCGTGGAATGCAAACAAGCTAAAACGATATACCGTCATCTCGTTTATTTGAAGAAAGAATAACGTTTTTAATGAACGACATCGCGTCTACTATTAAATTAAGTATGTGTTTGCGTGGTGTTAGTCTTCCTTAACGTTAATTATAATAATAAAAACAAAAAGACTTCCATTAAATGTAACAAGTAAAGATATAAATGGTTCTTCGTGTAAATTGACAAGTCCAAAAGTTCGCGCGGAATAATGAATTAACATGTTAATTGCACGTTCCGAATCTACTGGCGATCGCAATCGGCATTTTTATACACGGACATCGATAACGACACGTGCCGCGGCAGCTCTTGACACAAGAATCGTTCCCTTCCGCAGGTGCATGTACGTTCATATTGACAAACAACGTCTCGGGAATACTTAAAAGTCTATGTACAAGGTGCCTCGGGAAGAAACGTAAAAAGGGAGTGTCTCGACCCGCTGCAATGGAATGTGCCGAGACAAAAAACATCGATGCCGCGTCGGAATGACGATATCAAACAACAAAAAAAAACAAAAAGTTTTTTTTCTTTAAATTTAGTGTTTTACTATCTTTAAGATATTATTAACGCATGTTATATATTATTATTACAAAAATATACAGCAGTTTCTCACGGTAGAAATTTAATCTTTCAAGGCGAATATAAAATATCTCGCAACTCAAACAACGAATCTTTAGAGATGAAGACAAAAAAAAAAAAGAGAGATACTTTGTCTACGCGATAAATCTTCGCGACAACCCGCAATCATTCCATTAAATTTTTATTGATGAGAATGACATCAAGACCGAAATAGCCGAAAGTAGCACATGGGGCGCGAGTCCTTGGCAAAAGAGTTACGTAAAAAAAATACCTTTTGCCTTCGTCGAAGAATCTCTAACGGTCGCATCATCCTTGAATTTAAATCCTTTTCCAGGCACGTGGCGTGCGAAGCAATTTCTTCTTTGCGCAATCTTTATCATTCGCGGAAATATACATCGGCATAGTAACGGCTCTGTTATGTGAATGAGACGACCATTGTCCGAGATGAAAGAATCTACACGCGAAGAATGGAAATAGTAAAGATACCGAAGAAACACACAAAAAATTTTGCTAAACATTTGCAAAAAGTGTTCGAAAAAATTTTTTTTTTAAATTATTTAAACTTCAAACCGCACAGTTAAATTTTTGGTGATTTGTGCGACCGCAAATCAAGCTGCCGTTTTTTTAAGAGTAATCGTAATAATAATAATAATTGAGGATCCAAATCATGTCCCGTGTACGACACGTGAATACTTGTGTTCGACAACGTTGTACTACACACGTAGTTGGCAGCAAAGGCGAACGCCTATTAATCAATTTTGTAAAAGAGGGAAGGAAGAAGGAGCGAAAAAGGGAGACAGACGCAACGAAGCGTGAAAAAGAATGAGAAGTTTCGCGAGATAAGGAGTAAACCTTATTAACGATAAACCTTATTGCATACGCAACTAAAACTTGTATTTACATGATAAGAAATAAATGAAATTTTTCGTAAGATAGTAAAGTACGCAAAAACTTCGCGAACAATTTTGTAACAAAAGAAATTTACATTTT